TAGGATACCAAGAAAATACATGATCTGCTGGTCGTTTGAACCCAGGAGTATGTCCTTACTTCTTCAACATGTCAAGGAACCGTTCGTGTTCCAATTTGCTGAGATCGTCAAAGGCTGATAAAAATGTCAAAACGACCAAGCCTTGAATTCAATTGCAGTTTTCCATAATCTAAGACAATGTTTCGCCCCCTCTCAAGTCGTGAGTCTCATTTCCCGAGGTTTGTTAAGTATATACCGGTTAACACATCAAAACAGAGGCGGAGCCAGCGGCTTTTTAAAAAAATAATAATGTGCTTCAGTAGATGTTTGTGAACCTTTGTTCCATATGATCTACTTTTAATGAATTTTACATTAAAAAAGCGAAACAAGACAGAAAGTGATTATTTTCGATGGTCGGGTCGGATCGATCCCTCCTGATTTTACTGATACACTAACACTGTTAGTTGGTATAAGTTATGACATCTAGAGAAGACCGCCATCCCCCAAGTTGATAATCAGTTTCTACACCTTGGTGACGAAGTACAGAACAACCTAAGCGCTCCGGCTGCTTTAGTCCATGTTAAGGTCCATACATAAACGTACGACTATCTCAACGCTAACTGAGCTTCGAAAATCTATGCCCAGGGTCCCGATCCACGAAGCCTACGTAGCGCTACGACATTCGTAAGCCTATGATAAACTACGACATTCGTAAGCCTATGATAAACTATAGAGTTACGACAAGCCGTAACGTAAGCCTATGATAAACTATAGAGTTACGACAAGCCGTAACGTAAGCCTATGATAAACTATAGAGTTACGACAAGCCGTAACGTAAGCCTATGATAAACTATAGAGTTACGACAAGCCGTAACGTAAGCCTATGATAAACTATAGAGTTACGACAAGCCGTAACGTTACGAACATTTTGTGTATCGGGACCCAGGAGTTGAAACCACCTCAGCGCAGGGATTGCTTTGGACAACGGTATCCTGACCTCTGGTCATCGACGAGGATCAAACTAGACCTCACAGACCACTAGCTTAGCCGTTGTGGAATGCATACGTCAAAGTGTCAATCCTGATCCTGTCCAGATCTTGATATAACAGACATCTTCGGGACATTTGGGCCGTCAAATATTACAATGAAACCCATCTATGCAAAATTTACGTAAACTTTCTCCTGCTTTTCATCCAGAATAACCCATGATGATCCGGGTTAGAATTGGTCTTAAGCAACCGATGCTTCTCGTAAGAGGCGAGATAACGGGATCGGGTGGATTATCTATTAACAGACAACCGCCATATGGCTGGAATATTGCTGAGTGCGGCGTTGACCAACCAACCAACCAACCTACCAACCAACCTACCAACCAACCAACGAACAAACCAGCTAACAAACAAACTCGGGGTCCAGCATACCACCTAATTTGCCTTTGAATCTAACTAAAATGTTCCCGAGTCAGTGTCTCAGCTGGTATAAGCAGTGTATGAATTAAGCCAAAACTCCAGCCAGGGCTGGTAATTTCAAAACGTATCGGGCGGTCGGACGTGCCTTAGTTCACACACTGGTATATGTAAGTAAGATTTTGATTTCAAGTAGAATCCATGACCATGTGTGTTCATAAGAATGCTAAATATTTTATTGATTTGCCATTCTTTACATGGAAATCTTCACATGAAGAATGTATTTTAGCACTGGCATCTAGGTGCCAGTATTAACATTTCATGGCATCCAGGGCACTACTCCGCAGGATTGGGAACATTCCCTCCACGACGTGGCATCAAGATGGACATTGCGCCCCCAGTACTGGTATCAGGTTTTAAAGGGCGCAGTTCCTGTGGTACATCACGTAGCCGTATGCTGCAGTGTCGCGGTCGGTGGCGGCGACGTCGAACCACGTTGTGGTGGTGAGGGTGCAGAAGCCGTCGGTGGGGTAGCGCTCCACGGTGAGACACAGATAGTCAGTCTGGGACGTACACAAACTCAAACAGTCCTCCTCGCTGTAGCCCCAGTCGCGGAAGTTGTTGTTCTGCAGACCACGTTCGATGTAGCTGGTGAAGTCGGTGCCGTAGCTAGAACAATCTGGAATGAGTGAGTAAGATGGGTTTATCCCTGTTCAGACTTTTCACTCATTGCGGGTTGTCAACTTGATGTTGGATGAAAACCTGATGCAGTGATGCACTTCTACAGAAAATATTTCCCGAAAGTGTTTCAGTATTGCAAAATTATGCATTTCATGTAATTCTTTTATCAATTATTGGAACGTAATACATTTGTCGTATCACTAATAATGTATACATTTACGATATGCACACGTGTGCGGTTAATGATTAGGTTCCTCATATGATAACAGGTTTTGTTTAATAACTCCAAGTTTAAGACACTAAAGTTCGCGTGGGGTTACCAGACGTTTGCAGATTTTTTATACCTTGGCAAAACCCACGAACATAGCTATGAAACTCACAAACCATTATCATTGCAAATCTGGGATTCGAACACACGATCATGGGTTCTGATATGGCAGATGCAACTTTAGACAGCCTTGCCATCCGTACCCTCCAATCAGGAGGAAGAAAAGCAATCCCATGGACCAATCAAAACAGTAAGAGAGTAAGGGACGCGTAAGGAAAGGGGGGTAACTCTGCACCCAGATTAACAGTTTGGTGCTGAGTTCAGTTTTATTTCAATTACTACAATTATGTGGATAGTTACCACAAATTACGTTTCTGTGGTTGAGAGAAAGAAATACAATATAGTAGTTATTCAAACGTTATTTTCCTCGCAAATACAATTGTTATCCTTCACACATATATTCTCCAAGTCCATTGTTGTCTGTATCACTTGCTTGATACCGCTGTCAGCATCTACACTGAAAGGTCGCATCTATTGCAGCAAAGAAGTTGTCTATGCATAAAAGTCGTTCCTGTTCATGCTCTCATCGTTTCCAAATATAAATTAAAAAGCTTGATACCTCATGAAATGCTTAATCATAGAGTACAGTGAGACCCCGGGTACCCAGACCCCAAATATCCGGAAACCTCGCCTTCCGGTCAATTTTCATAAAAAACCAATCTCTTATGTTATAAAAGTGACTGTCTATAACGGATATGCGCTTTCCGTTCCCGGTCGGTAAATTTTTCAAACCAACCGGCTAAATCAACACAAAATTGACTCACTTATCCGCACAGAGTCCACTTTATATTCAACACCTAAGACTGGAAGACAGAAGTCCAGATATCCGGATATTCAGTTATCCGGACGATTTACGCAAAAACTAATGTGTGGAAATTTCCTAATCTTTTCTAAGTTTTCTAGGGTTGGAAGCATGAATGTTTCCTCAGGTGCACACACATTTGTAAATTTGCATATGGTTTCATGCCTTAGAAGCTAAAGCATCATGCTGGATGTCAAGGGTATGTATTTGGACAGTTTTCACATGTGCATATTACTATTTAGTACTAAAACAAGACGATCTAAGAATTTTCTATACATAATTGCTGCATTCATGACCAGTTAATAACAAAATATCTGTTGAACTATTTGTGTTAGCAACTTGTTAAAAGCTACATTAGTTATAGGTACTTCCCAGCAGGCCGGCGACGTATTTGCTACGTCGCTGTCAGGTCACATTGAGGTCGCCATGTCGCAGTCGCAGTGCGACGTTGTATGGACGTGGCAGACCAATCGCTTTCTGGTTCGGTTTTCCATTCACATGGCCACGTCGCTGCAACGTAGCTGTACTACATCCAAAGGTCAACGACAAGTGATGCTTTGTTTTGAAACGTTATGAAAACGTTCCGAGTAACGTTATTAAAAGGTTATCAAAAAAGAAAATTAAAACTTCTACACACCAACCTTTTAGAAACGTTATTGAAACACTGGTGGAGGTTTTCCTAAAGTTTGATTGAAGCCTTATCACAATGTTCTACAATCATTATTGAAACATTTTGATGTAAATTTTCCCTGATAAGGATGTTTCTGTTCACTGCAGGAATGTATATTAATTTGAAAAATAATTGTTATGCAAATACGCCTGAACATAAATATTTATGAGAAATTATAAGTTCTAGAATGGTGGAATAGTATGTCATGTGTTTCATTACAATGACTGATTTTGTACAATACTATTTACTATAAATGCAACATTTTATTGCAAATATAATCTCCCATTTACTGCTGTGCGTTTAAGTTCAGCCTTCCCTGTGTGGACAACTTGCTATCTCTTGTTTTGGTGTCAGCAGTCTCAGGAATGTTCCCAGATACTTTATCAGGTCAGAGCAGGAATTCCTGCATTCAAATCGGACTCTGTGCATAGCAGGCGGGAAGTTCCGCCACACTGCTGGATATAGAAGACTGTTCATTTTACTCTTGTGACAAGACTACAGTTTTCTAAGAGGAGGTATGTGTATTCACATTATTGTTCTAAAAACGTCAAATTTCACAGTTAACCTGATAAATCATCACTTAAGAATTTCAGTCAAATTCTGTATCGTGCCTTGTGAACGTTCATTCTTAGTTTGCAACAGTACGAATTCCTATGACTATTGACTTAACTATAATTTTACCATTTATTAAATGACCAAAATGTAGGCATGTTTTCAAATATAGGAATATTCCCTGTTTCCTCTGCCCTATATCCAATCTGTCGACACAGATCTGGTCACAGAGGCACTCTTGCTTATCAGCGATGTACAGGAACTCAGGGGATAATATTACATTCAAGTCGGTGACTCCAGTTACAGATGTATTTTATAACGTAAACAATATGTCCCTTTCACAGCACCCAGACCATGATTCCTCACAACAAATGTCAGCCCCCTCACAAGTAAATATCGTATACAACTTTTAAACAAGAAATGACGATGTGTCATAAAGCCATTAAAAGGCAACTAACCATTTCTAATTTTTGGGTCAACTGTAAGAAATACACAATTTTCAGTCTTGTAAATAGTATATATTGTTAGTAAAAAAATTCTCTTTAAATGACGCCCGCATCTTTGGAAAGTATCATACAATTTAACCAGATGAAATCAGTTGCACAATTTGACAAATTAATTTTATTTGGTTGGTAATAAATTCCTGTTGTATTTCATTAATGGTATAGGTTGCTTGATCTGTATTTAATTTTTATGTTTACGAAAATACTGGTGGCATGTACTCCCCTACCAGAACTCTCAGATCTCAAGACCAATGTCTTCTCTCCGTTCCCAAAGTTCTCCTTTCTTCTTTTGGCAAGAAGTCTTTCCAGTACGCTGGTCCTACTCTGTGGAATTCTCTCCCTCTCCACATAAAGCAGTCATGCACATTGGAAACTTTCAAAATTAAGATGAAGACTTTCTTTTTTTCCAAAGCCTATCCCTAAAATCAATCTTTCTGTCATCAATTTCAATGTATATTTATTTTGCTATTTTATCCTCTGTATGCATTGTATGTATGCTTTTATGTAGCGCCTTGAACATGTATCAGTGGGTGGAAAATGGCGCGCTAAAAATATCCATTATTATTATTATGTACTCCTGGCATAAAATTTGTTAATGTATGTTGCCAAGTGACAGCATATAAATCTTAAAATTATTTTGCAGCTTCAAGCACAGAAACGGGTTGGCGGCAGAGACATGCATCAGACCAACTGTTGAGTTTTAACCCTTGGCCATGGGTCAGTACAATGTAAAAGGAATTGGAAACAAGAGAAGCTTTTCTACAACAAGACTGTAGAAACTGATCAGAGGTGAAACGTTTTCCTTCTAAAGTAATACACAACACTACTGTTATTAATATGATAGCACTTGGGACCACATAAACATGTCCAAGTGAAACAACTGGTTTAGTCAAAGGTCAGATTATTATTTTTGACCACAGGACATCACAATCATTTCTGCATTTGTTCTAAGCCCACTCAGATTTATCAAGTAAACCTGTTGCTGCTTCTTTATGGACCATGTTTTTTGTTACTCGGTATGATTGAGATTCAGATGATGTTTTAATATGCTGCTTTGGTTATCTGATGCTAGTGTCTAACGTTTGGGTAGTAAAATAATCATAAAAATGTAAATACTCATTTTTATACAAACATTACAATTGCTTTAAAGCCATTTGTTGACAGCAAACATTCTGTTTCAGAGATGCTGCTTTGGCCAACTGTCCAACATCTACTGAAACAGATATAGCAAGCTTCATAGGTTAATATTTGAAACAAACATGCTCCAAGAAAGCTCTTGAGGGAGCATGAGAGAGCGGAATGAGCAGCGAGGCAAGCCACAACAGCTGATCAATTGGATTAAACTATATGGGGGGGGAGTGTGTGTAAGCGTGTGTGTGTGTGTTTGTGTGGTTGATTTAGTCTGATTAAATAATACTAAAACCCTTTCCGTGTATTTTGTATGTTATTTTTTTGTATTATGCATTGAAACAGTTGAAAGATTACGCGAGGTTTCATTCTGTGTGTCTTCAACCAATACTTTTGTAACTTCCTTACCTGGACAATATGTTTACAGTAACTTCCCTACCTGGACAATATGTTTACAGACATTGCTCAGTGATGGCAACACCTGCGTTTTGAGTATATGTGCTTCTTAATTGTCTGTTCCTCTTGTACGGTTCATCTGGGAAGTGACCAAACAGTTAAATCAAACTTTAAACCCCTCGAACTATAAGGGATCGATTGTTCAACTAAAACTACGTCATTGTATTCTCTACTTCTGTGTTAGGCACAGAACAATAGATTCATGCTGCTTAAGTAGACCCATCCATACAATGCATAAGGAAACAATGGAGACAACACAAAAATGTCACTGCCAGTGTTCTTCTGATTTGATGGTAATATTTCAGCAAAATGAACATAAGTGTTAAAGGTGAGCAAATAATCTTTCGATGTAAATATTGTGGTAAGTGGATTTGATGACCCTAAAGTGAACCAAATTACCACCCTGGTTAAAATATTTGGTTTGTTTGTGTATATTGGTGGTATTTTGTTATCAGAACGTCTACCTATTTTGTCCAACTATTGATTATTGACTGTGATAATGTTAACTGCGTACACCTCAGTGTGATTTAAATGCATATTACCTTAATAAACTGTTGTTTTATCTCCGAATGGTTTTGCATTTATTACATTGGCTACATTTTACACCAAAAGCCTGCGAAAGATCCTAAAAGTCTTCTTCTCCAACAAAATCTCAACTCAGCAACTGCTAACATCCTGCAAAATGGAAAGCATAAATACATCTTTACCAGAAGGTGGATGTGGATTGGCCATATTCTCAGGATGGAGACCGGCAATACTACACGCACTGCTTTACACTGGACCCCAGAAGGACGACGGAAGCACGGAAGGCAAAGGAACACGCACAGTGGAGAGCGAACTGAAGACCCTAAACCACACCTGGGGCACAATACAACACCTAGCCCAGAACAGACAGTATGGCGATCTCAATTTGTTGCTGCCCTACACGCCGACGGGTGTAACAGGGGATAGGTAAAGTAACATTAACCCGTATTCGGACGCACAGAAGATACAAGGGAAGTTTGACCCCACAGTCTGAAACTATACCGTGGTCAGAACCAGAACTAGAAGCAGCTGCTTGTCCATTTTGACCAGGCATATATCAGACTGACTAGTACATATTCAACAAACATTAAAAAGCTTCACAAGATTGATGATACAAGTTTGAATCTATTTCGATTTCAAAAGTAAACTGATAGGCTTAATTGTTTTACAGTTTTTACCATTCTTCTGAAGGCAGATGACAAAGAATCCAACTCAGTAATGAAAATATAACAGTGACATTTATTACCATATGTTCTTGTAAGCAGTACACAGACATGATTCATAAGATCGTTTTGGGAAGGAACTTTGCTAACCTCTCTGTGAATTCTTTACTGGATCCAGGGAAAATACAGACATGGTTCAAACTTTTATGGAGAAAGAAAAACATGAACAGCCACGATTGCAAAATTGACTGTTAATTGACTTTCAACATGACAAGCAGTGGGGGTCACTTACTGTGTACATACCTTTTAAGGGGGGCATTCACATTGTACGTGCTTCTCCATACGTCATCATCACACCCTAGCCATAAATAATGAACGGTCCCTTAACAACTATAAACATAAAAAACACGACTTCTCCGACTTAACACATTGTAGACTCACTGTCTTCAGTCCGACAATAAAACATTTTAAATTCTATCATCAAAAGTTGTAAAAACTGAACATTGAACATGCTCACTCACTCACTCAAGGTGCCTGATCTAAATGTGTTGAAGCAGCACGCAACAAGGAAACAACACACACGTGCATTAACAAGAACATAGACACAGTGAAATATGCATCATCGTGCATTTAAAGATCCGTTGATCCAGAGCAATGTGCTTTTGTTTTTGTTTTTTTTCGTACGCGGCTGATCCCAGAATTCCTGACTGGTTCGCAACCTCCGTTGCGCCCAGAGCATGTTGCGCCAGAGATCGTGCAATCTGTGAAAATGTCATCTGAGAAATCATTAAGCTGCAAGCCATCCAGGGGAAATAGCTGCACAATAAATTCTTCCTGCACTCACTGTACCTACATAGGCTTGTTGAACGTACCATCTCGCTCGACTTTGACAAGCGTTTCTTGTTGGACAAGTGATAGACCCCGGACGGCTTCTGTAAGGGACGATTTCCTCCTGTTCTGTCCCTTGTTGGCCAAGGCAGACAGTCCGACAGCGCTGTAACGACGTGGTTTTCGGTGCTGTACATACTTACAGTCAGAGCCGTTGGCAGGAGACAGCTTCCTTACACTTCCTGATTGTGGATTGAGTTCCTCAGTGTTGGAAGTCCTCTTGACCTCCAGGACCTTGCTTGTCTTTCTGGGCATATTTGTCCTCTTTTTAGGTTTAACTTCCGTTTCAATTTCAGTGTTCTCATTGAAGTGGACACCACAGTAAAGATCCATTACCGTCAGTCCATTGTATTCGTCCATGCTTCTTTTGTGAAGAGAATGAATAGTCTTGTCAGGTCCTGTCGGTTGGCGTTGCACAGTAACACTGCGCTTTTGTCACCTCACGGGTTGTTTGTAACTGAGGTCAGTAACAATTAGTCATCGTTAGTGCGTCATTTAGCATGCCTGGACGCAGTTAGACGACGCCTGATTAGCACTTTATGGGTGCCAATTCTTTATTATATACTGAGTCAAAAAAGAAACTTCACATTCTTTCTTTTGACAATCGTGGCATTTCAAGTACCGTTAGAACTGTGGTTTAAAAGTGTTTTTTCAATTCTTGAGGCCAATGCAAACACGTGCATATGAAGAAATAATTATTCATTATTTTTCAAATTACATTTTGTGAAGTTTCTTTTTTGACTCAGTATATTATGATTTGACATTTCGGTATATGGTCTTACACTGCTGCTAAGAAAGAGTGAAGTACGACATGGTGATGATGATGATGATGATGATGATGATGATGATTTGGAGAATTTACGTGCGCTTTCCGAAAAGGAAGGCTTATAGACATTTAATAGGAATTAATATAAACAACAGGCTGGTATGCATGAACGGGATTAACAACAACAATTGGTAACATACCTGCCAACTCACACGCTTTTATTACCCATGACACGCTCTCACGACAAGACTGATAAATCTCGCGCCGAACTGGGTTCATGTGAAAAATGCAAATAGCACCCCGTTAGAAACCACTCAAATTGGTCTGAATAAATCGTTTTCAGTGACTTTTCTTGCGGTTCATATGCAGGATGCGGCTTTTGGATCCCGGCATCTCAAGCTTTTAACTCTCTCGGGGTTGGAAGCTCTATAGTTATTCTCGTAGTAACACCAAGAGAAGGCCAGACGTTCGTGAGGCGCAATAAAACACACATAGCTGGTATCATTAATTAGGGGAGTACCCGTGAAGATCCGGGTTAGATTTGGTCTTCAGCGACCTATGCTTGTCGTAAGAGGCGACTAACAGAATCGGGCGGTCAGGCTTGCTGACTTGGTTGACACATTTCATCGTATCCCAGCTGCTTAGATCGATGTGCATGCTGTTGATCACTGGATTGTCTGTTCCAGACTCGATTATTTACAAATAACTGGAGTAGTGCAGGGTAAAACTAAACTCATTCACATATATGCACAACCTAACGGCAATTACTTTATTTTAGACATCATCCACACTATTTAGCAGGGCCAACTGATCAGATCTGTTGAGGCAGGTCGTGGCAGTCTTGTTCCTTAGAATAGTGTTTGGGTAGTGTTTGCAGGGCTAGGATACTGGCCATATTATTATGAATAGGACTCTTTTGTAATATATTGATGGAGCTTATGCTTACGTGTCGAAAATGTTTTAGTTCTTCCTTTTAGTTTTTGATGCAGATGTTCTGGGTCTTGTTTGACCTTTGGTGTTGTGCTGTTTATTGCTTATGATTGACTCTTTGCATCTGAATCATCCGGGCTACTGGGAGTCATGCATCAAAACAAGTGGTTGGAACCCGTCTAAGAGGTTTCGTCCTACTTAGGTTGTGGCACGACCAACTGATGGAAGCTGTTGGGCCAGGTTGTGGCACGACCCGCTGATGGAAGCTGTTGGGCCAGGTTGTGGCACAACCCGCAGATGGAAGCTGTTGGGCCAGGTTGTGGTACAACCCGCAGATGGAAGCTGTTGGGCCAGGTTGTGGTAAGGTCTGCTGATGGAAGCTGTTGGGCCAGGTTGTGGCACGACCCGTTGATGGAAGCTGTTGGGCCAAGCTGTGGCACGGCCAACTGATTGAAGGTGTTGGGCCAGGTTGTGCCACTGTCTTGTTTCTCACCATATAATTCGGACAGTGTCTGCAGGGCAAGTAATGGGGTCATATTGATACGGATAGGTCTCCTTTGTATTTGGTTGGCTGTTAAGGCTGCTTGAGTTGTAGTTATTTTCCCTTTTAGTTGCTTGTGCAGATGTTCTTGTTGCAGTTCTTGTTGTGTCAGCTTGGTATGTGGTTGTTCTAGTTCTTCTTGGATAGATCTTATCGCAGTTGATAAAAGTTCCTTGATGTCGCGACGCTAGATGTGTAGAACTTTTATTCCATATACGTTTGAACTTGCCATTCTGTATTCACGGATCAACACGTCCAAAATGTCATGCTGAGTGGAACACACACCGCCTCCAATAGTATAGACGCACCTCTCCTTTCCATTCATACGGATGTCACGTCAACGCTTATTGAAACAATCAAACGCATAAAAACATTAGTTCCACACATGACCTTTTCATCACCAAGCAAATCTAAACGTGTCCAATTTTTTAATAGGTGATCTCCATACTTTCCAACATAACCACACCAGACAATGTAAGTTGTTTCTGAACACATCAATGTGGTAACAAAGACATGATTTCGTATCGCCATCGCTGTAAGTAAACTTTGTATGAGTGAGTGAGTTGGTTTCAGCCGCATGTGACATACCTTCAGAACATCTTCCATTATGTTTGGATTCCAAAATAATGTTCGTAGCATGAAACAAAATTCTTACACCAGACACTCAGTGAATGCAACTTTTTTATTTTCCAAAGAAATGCTGCAATCATCAGATTTAAAAGACCATCTCTACCACCTTATTTCCCATATAACTTTCTCCCTTTCTTATACAACCACATGAC